TACAGAAATGGCCACACAGGGTTGGGGAACGTGGAGCCCAGGCCAGCGATAAGGCCAAGGACAGATTCCCTTTGGCGCTCAGGTGCTGTTCATCAGAAATCAACAGCCCCTCCGTCCTGGCCCATGACAGGCTCAGGGTGATAACAGAGTCACATGCTCAGCAATCACGCAGGACAGGCTGCCACTGGTTCACAGAGATAAGCGAACAATGAGCGACCCCTCTCCCTATGGAGGGGCCTGCCTGGAGCTTCCCGGACAAGCAGCAGGGGCCAGTGCTCCCAGTCCTCCTCCCCCCAGCAGGTCCTGAGAGCTCCTCCTGTCACTCGGAAACACCAGCCCCATCAGGCGCCCCCTAGGCCCACCCCTGTTCCCTGGAGTTAATCATGTTATCGTTAGAGCACAGGTGTTCATGGACGATAACGGGCAAGCAGCTCCCTCCCCTTGTCCCTGCTCCACAGAGGACAGAGCTGCTTCGTAATGGTTTACCCAGCCCACGGGCTCAGCCTAACAGCCCCTTTCTGGGGCCAGGCCTCTCACAGGTCCGTTTCAGAGGCCCGCCTAGGCCAACCCAGCACTCTTTAAAGAAGCCTTTTCTTCCTTCCAAATCTTTAAGGAAAGGGGAAAGGGGTGGGCATGGAAGGGCTACAAGTGCTTTTCCCAGTGCCTGGCCCATCCATCTGTCAGTGCAAAATGGGAACCCCACATTTGGGCCCTAGATTGGGGGTTGGTTCTACTTCCCTGGCTCACCCCTTCCCTCCCTGACTGCTGCACACCCCTTCCCTGCCCAAGCTTCCTTTCTACATGGTGGTGAGCTTCCCCCAAGGCCATGGTCCAGGAGAGTGCAAGGTGGAGCTGGCATGCATGGTCTTTGAGGACCATTCGTTATATATGTCAAGGAGCCCTGGTGGCATAGTGGTTACATGTTGGGCTACTAACTGCAAAGTCAGCAGTTTGAAACCACCAGTCGCTCCAAGGGGGGAAGATCAAGCTTTTGACTCCATTAAGAGTCAGTCTTGAAAACTCACCAGAGTAGTTCTACCCTGTCCTATGGGGAAGGTGGCCTTGACTCATGGCCGGGAGTTGGGCTTGGTCTCAGGGAGTTGTACATGTCAATGTCGCAGGGGACTAATGAAGGCATGCATTCTAGGTGAGAGTCCGTGGGGGCCATCTGGAAGTCTGTCTATTATAGTGGGACGGGTTCCCAAGGGAATGGGGGACCACCCTCCTGGTTCAGAAGTTGTTTTAAAGTGGGGAGTTTCGAAGTCATATCTGCCTCCTTTGGGGCACCGCTGCTGGTGTTGACTTGTCCATTCCCTTTTCGTTCCAGCTCCAGGAGGCTAGCAAGCTGAGCATGCGCATACTTCCCTCTCATGCCCCTGTGTGAGTGGGGCACAAGGATCTGGGGGTGAGGATCCCAGCATGTGGCAGTCACTACCTACCAAGCACAAGTAAGCACTTGATATTCCTTAACCCTCACAGTTTCCTCCTGGGAAGTAGGCGCTGCCACTGTTCCCCTTTTACAGATGGCCACTGGTAGATGGCATGGGCTGTGGGTCTCCAAGGTCACCCAGAGGTCATTTGGAAAGAGCCAGTGGCTGAGACCAGGGAGCACTGACTCATAAGAGCACTAGCTTGTGAAGAAGGAAGGTGAAAACTGGAGGTAGGAAAAGCAGCGGGAGATGTGGGTCAACTGGGGGTCAATGGAGGACAGACTCCAATCAACAGGCTCTCAGGCCACAGAGTGGACGAGGAGATGAAGACACTCGGGCAGGAAGGAGAAGGGTGGTGGAGAGGGAGAAAGTGGGTGGGAGGTGGGAGAGCTGCGGTAGATGCAGCCTTGGAAGAGGCTGGCTGTAATGAAGGGAAAGGTAGCAGGGTGAACAGGGGGTGATGGAGAGGAGGGCCATCCCAGTGTGGCAGAAGGGGGTCCAGAAGAGACCCAGCATCCCACCCACGCCACACAGTGCAGGATCTGCCTGGCAAAGGGTTGTACTCAGCCTGGAGGGAAACCCCTACCCCAGTGAGTGCCAAGTGAGGCCCGGAGATGCAAATATTTGCTCAGTTTCTCCCCTCCTTGTTCAAACACACCATTCGCTTTGGGGATGGAGGCTGGCTGCTGTTGCAAAAAGACTTGTGAAATCAGGGAGGGTGGGATGAGCATGGAAAACAAGCCTTTGCTCTCAGGGCCACAGAGGACATCCCCAGGGTCCCTGGCCACTGGACTCCATTAGCTCACCAAAGTAGCTCAATAATGGCCCGGCTCCTCTACAAGGCATCTGTTCAAACAAAGCCAACCTTTCCCCGCACGGCCAGACTCCATCCAACTCCCCTGTGCCTGCCCCGCTCTGCCCGACTGTGGCTGCATTAATTGTGTGTTACTGCTTGTCTGCGCCCCGGGCTGTACCACTTGTGAGCTGACACATGTGTTGTTATGCCCTCGGCCCTGAGCGGGTCTCCCTCTGGGAGCTGTGCCCTGTGTGCCCTTTTGGCTAGTATGTGGCATTCCGTGTGTACTTCTGTGTCCCGGGTGACCATGTGTGTGTGGCTTTGGGACCCTGTGTTGAATGGTGTGTGCCTGAGTATCAATGAGACCATAGATCTCGGGCCATGTGTTGCCCAGGGTCCTATCCATGCTGTGAAGCACCATGTGCATGCGTGTTAGTGTTGAAGGGGTGTGTTCTTGTGTGTGGTTTAGTGGTTCACTTTGAGACGCCACCTCTGTGTGTGTTCATGTGCGCACACGCACCGTAAAATCGTCATTGATGCGGTCTGGTCGTGGGCAATGCTGTTTGTACAATGAGACACCTGCATCCTCCTCTGTGAATTGGGGTACTGTGGTATATGCGGTAAAGTTGCAGGGTCCTGTGTGTTTTTGTTGGATACCTGGTTTCTCTTCCCAGTGGGCCAGGATCCACCCCAGAAGCCTCTGGCCAGATATGCACGTGTGACTGCTTGGTAGGTGGAATTGGGTATCCTCTTTTGTCTCTTGTTGGATAGGGACCCAAGCCCTCAATTATAGGATACAGCCCAGGGCAGAGGCAGCAGCCAAGGAGCAGAAAATCCCACAGTTGGATGAGAGAAGACACCACCACCTCCACCACCCCACCCCCTGCAAAGAAACAGCAAAATCGGAAAGAGCCATTTGGAGCCAAATTGGCTCTGCCCAATCCAGAGAGACAGGCAGCCAGGTGGGGATGGAGGGAGGAGATTGGAGAGCCCACCACAACTGACCAGCCAATAACCCGCTGTTCCATCATGTAACCGGGCTAGGTAGCTTGTGCATCAGAACCACTTGGGTATTTGTTTAAAGGAGACTCCTAGGCCCACACCCAAAGGTTATAATGAGTGTGGGGGTGGGGCCTTGGGATCTATATTTGGAAAAGAATCCGGGTTTTCCAGGGACCACCAGGGAAAGGCGCTGGGAACATGGAACGCGGTAAAGCTCTAAAGGAGGAAAGGAAAAGAGAGAAGAGAATGATACTGTGCATATTATTGCTGTCCCACAGACACGTACCATCCCAGTTCACACCTGAGATCGAGGGCTGTACCTCGGCCTGTGCGAATCTGGGAGTTCATTCTCTGTGTGTAACCCTCAGCCTGTAACGAAAGGGGAGCAAAGAACACATGCCCAGCACCCTTGTCCCAGAGTGAGATAACTCAAAGCTGTCCCACCCTGTCCTACCCCCAGATGTCTCCAGAGGGACCGAGTCCCAGGTGCCCACAGCAGAAGCTGCTCCTGCTCCACAGCCTCTCATTGGCTTCCTTTCCTTCTGTTACACTCACTCAGTCACCTTCCAGATTAACTCCTGCTGGCATCCTTGTCTCAGAATCTGCTCCTCGGGGTTCCCAACCTCCTACAGGCGAGGAAAAGAAACCCCAAAGCCCTTCCTGTTGAAGAATCAAGGGGCACTGGGCAGAGCAGGTCAGCTGGAAGAACACTGGGGTAAGAGTCCCAGGTTTCTCCCACTGACTCCTCCCACCTTCCTCCAAGAGCATTACAGCGGCCTGATCACAACCTCCTCCACGTCCCTGCTCCCTCCCTGTCTTGATGCCTGGGCTCTGTTTGGCTGACCCTTGAAAGTCTGCGTCTCGGGGTGTGCTTGAAGCACAAATGATGGCCTGGCAGCCAGTCATTTTACTCCAAGTTATCTCCCAGGGGCACTCTCCATGTCGCTGGCCTGGGGAGGGCAGCCCCAGGTCTGGAGCAGCCTCTACTAAAACCTGCAGCTCCCTTCCTGGAGGCCTGCTTCCAGCTCCATCTGGATGAAATGCCTGTGCTCCGGACTGTGTTTGGGAGCAGTGTCGGCCCTGTCAGATGTTCCTGCTTTTCCGTAAGCCCAGCCCTGTTTCCCAGGGGCGGTTCTGCCATCTGCCTGAGCACTGACTGTAGGAAGAGCCACCCGAGATGAGGCTCAGCTGCCCAAAGGTCAGCCTCTGTGAGGAGGGAGTTGGAGCTCAGTTCTGGGGTCCTTTCAGTGCTGGCAAGTGCTCTGGTCTTCCCTCCAGGGATGGAGAGTGGAGCCTCTGGGTCTGGTCCCTGGGTCTCCACTGGGACAGCAATCACAGTTCCTCTTAAAGGCCACCCTGGTCAATGGCACCATGCTGAGAAGGGTTCTGAAGAATGTGTGATTTGGAGAGATTACAGAGTGGCTTGGAGCCTGGGACAGAGACTGGTAGCAGGCTGCTTATGCCTCCCTCACATTCTCTGGGTTACCTCTAAACTCATGTCCAGCATCAGCGGGCTGTTCCAGAGCCTTCTGGCAGCTTCTTGTCTCAAGCATCCATCCCAAGCACTCTGCTCTTCCTCTGTTGCCATGAAAGTGAATTAAGTCAACACATACATGAGGCAACTGGGAAGGCCAGTGATTAATCACCCCTGGGGGAAACTACCACCCTATCCACTCTATGAGAGGTGAGAGTTAGTGGATAAATATTCCAGATTCCCCATCTGTTCTAAATCAGTGAATGTGTACAGAGAGAGACAGACAGGCACAGGCATCGACACATACACACAGAGATTGGTTGATTTATTTACTTCAAGGAAATGGCCCACACAATTCTTAGGGTTGGTAAGTCCCAAACTGCAGCAGGCTGGAGACCTGGGTCACAGGGTCACGGGGGCTGGAAAATCCAGAATCTGCAGGTCAGGTGGCAGGCAGGAGACTTCTGAAGGCATACGTGACAAGAACTAGAGGCCAGGCAATGAGCAGAGTGCAGGAGAGAGAGAGAGAGAGCGTCAACTTTGCCAGACAGCTGTTTTTATCCAGGAAGCAGGCTATCGTGGCAAGGAGCCACCCCTTTCAAGTGACTATGATCCCATCACGAAAAGTGATTACAGTAAATAAGGTATGGAATTCAGCGTCTGCCAAAGCCCTGAGAATCGTGGTCTAGTCAAGCTGACCCAGGACACCATCTTTCGGTGGAACAATCATAAAATATGTTCTACTCACTTCCACAGAGGGTCCTCCATGGAACCGAGCCTCACTTGCCCACCCAAAAGACCCCATTGTCATTGAATCAATTCCAACTCACAGCGACCCAGAGGGCAGGGTTTCTGAAGCTATAAGTTTTCTTTTTTTTTTCTTTTTTTTAATTTAATTTTATTATTTTTTTCTTTTTTAACATTTTATTAGGGGCTCATACAACTGTTATCCCAATCCATACACACATCAATTGTGTAAAGCGCATTTGTACATCATTTCTCAAAACATTTTCTCTCCATTGAAACCCCCGACATTAGGTCCTCATTTTTCCCCTCCCTCCCCACTCCCCCCTCCCGCATGAGCCCTTGATAGTTTATAAATGGGTATTTTGTCATATCTTGCCCTGTCCGACGTCTCCCTTCATCCACTTTTCGGTTGTCTGTCCCCCAGGGAGGAGGTCACATATAGTTCCTTGTAATCGGTTCCCTCTTTCCTACCCACTCTCCCTTTACCCTCCCTGTTTCGCCACTCACACCAGAAGCTATAAGTTTTCATGGGAGCAGACAGCCTCATCTTTCTCCCAAGGTGTGTCAGCTAAGTTTGAACTGACAACCCTATAACAATCAATTTGTTAGCACCTCCTTTATTCAGTTTTCTCTGCTCTCTATCTCCCGTCTCTCTTCCCTCATCATTCTGGCATCATCTCTTGAATAGACCACCTATTTTTGAGCCCTTGCTTTGGGGCAACCTCACCCAAGATAAAAGTGCTGTGAAAGCCATGTTTCCTGGCATGAACTCTTTGCCAGCACCAGGAGCTGGGAGGGACCAGAGGCGAGTGGCTCAGAGGTACAGCCAGTGCACGGCTCACAGTCTGTTGGAGCTGATGGTCACTTCGATAAGAAACCCGGGCGATGTGCTGGACAGAAGGAGCGTGGAGGAGGCAGCATCACCTCTGCATGAAGAGGCACAGGAAGACTCCTGTGCAGTGGGCCTGGACGCGGGGGTCTTACTCTTCGTCCTTGACGTCCATGAGATAGTGTCCGCTCCATTGTCACTTGTTCCAGGAGGGCCGTCCTCATCCTTCCTACCTTGAGACTTGCAAAGGACTGTCAGTGCCCTCGTCTCCACAGTGAGTCCCCAGAAGCATTCTTGAGGACTCTCGGGGTTGTAGGTAAAAGGAAATGATATATTCAAACATATTAGAAAATTACCCACAGAGAATGTTGATGGCCCACACGGCCACCCCTGCGGGTCTGCAGGGTCCACTCCTTCCAAAAACACATGGACTGGGGAGGACATCCATGGACGCCAAGAGGGACAGTTGGTTCCCCAAAGGAATGAAGATTCTGGACAGAAAGCCAAGTTCAAGTCCCCAAGGGCAAGGCTGCCTCTCCCATTTCACAGGGGAGGAGGGTGAGGCTCAGGATTTTGGAGGCCCGCGTTCACTGAGTAAGAGGTCCAGGACTGAACCCCAGGCTTCTGAAACATCAGGTTCAGGGTGCTTTTTCTGTTTACTAGGGCGCTTCCCAGAGGTTCTGGTAGTTACCATATATACTCAAGTATAAGCTGACCCGAATATCAGCCGAGGCACCTAATTTTACCACAAACACTGCATTAAAAATGTGCTGGAAAAACTCGGCTTATACATGAGAATATATGGGAAGTAATTGTGTGTCCATTTGAGAGGATTAAGAGTGAAGGGGTGGAGTCTAGCCTGTCAATCAGGTCATAGCCAGTGAAGCCTCTGGGCGGGCAAGGCCTTCTCTTGAGGATTCTGGGAACTTCGGTATTCTTCCTTGGAGGCAGGAGACACACTCTGTCTTGGCTCACTCCCTGGGAGACACTGCAGCTGGCAAGACACATGAAGCTACACTAGTGCCCTGAAGCTGAAGGAGCCACTTGGAGACCCCTGCCAGTGCTGAGATGCTTACAACGCCACTGGGTCCACAAGACTTTCCACCCACTGGCCCGTGATCTTCCTGCATTCAGCATCATTGCATGTGTTGTGTGAGTCCGAAGAGGAATTTCTAGATTGGTGTCGGACATATGGGCTAGTATCGGACTTATGAACTTGATCTGGACTGGGCTGGGATGTTTTCTCGATATTCAGTTGCTCTTGTATATAAAGATTTTTCTTATATGTATAAGAGTGTGTCCTGGATTTGTTTCTCTAGTCTACTCAGACTAACAAAGAAGCGAAGGCAAGTGGCCCTTCCTGCCTGCAAGCGAGCCCCACACAGAGAACTGTGAGGAGTTCCCAAGACTCATGGCCACAAAGTCCGTTCCAACATGCAGCAACCATCCAGGGCGGGGAGAACTGGCCCTGTGCATTTCCGAGACTGGCTCTCTTTACGGGAGTAGAAAGCTTTGTCTTTCTCTTGAGGAGCAGCTGGTGGTTTTGAACTGCCCACCTTGAAGTTAGCAGCCCAATGCGGAACCACTATGCCACCACAGCTCCCTGTGAGGGGTCCCTAGTAACGCTAAAAGGGGTCCTGGTGGCGCTGTGAGTTAGTCATTGGGCTCCTAACCACGGGGTTGCCCCTCTGTAAGAGAAAGATAAGGCGTTCTGCTTCTGTAACTATGTATCATCTCCTAAACCCTGCATAGGGTTGCCCAGAGTCAGAATCAACTAGATGGCAGTGGGGATGATTTGTTTATGTTTTGGTAACACTGAGAGCATGGGTAGCGCAGGCGCCTTACACTCTACCACTAACCTAAAGGCCTGTGGTTCAAGCACACCCAGCAGCACTGCGGAAGAAAGGCCTGGTGATCTGCCTCTCCAAAGACTGCTGCCTGGAAAACCCTACTGTAGGAAGTCAGGAGCCAGTAACATAGACACTAGCACTGGAGAGGGCCTCTTGTGTGTCTTGCTTTCTTAGTCAAGAAGGACAGAAAGGTCCTCCCAGAGTCGCCTGGACACGGAGTTAGATGGGACAATGGAGCCAAAGGACACAGAGAGACCCGATCCTCCTCTGGGCCCTCAGGCCGGCCTGCCCAGGTGGAAGTGCCCCTGCATTCTCCACCCAGGCAACAGCAGGAGGCCAAATAGGCAATTAATTACTGCCTGGTGCCTGCTGGCTCCCCTCCCCCCTGCTCAGCCAAGTGTGTAATGAAGATGGGACCAGAACAGACTCCCCTGCCCAGGGGGACTCTGGCACACTCAGCAGAGGAGGGGTGCCAGGGATGTGGGGGGCTGGGGCTTATGAAAATAATGAGCTGGCCCCGACACCTCCTCATTGCCCCTTCCAGACTCTTCCCGTGCACACAGTCTCCTGCAGGGTGAGTGTGACAGTGCCACGGGGGAGGATCTTGTCGTCATTGCCCTTCTGCCCACACTGACTCACAGCCACCCTAGAGCACGTGGTAGAACTGCCCCCCACCCCCCTGTGGGGAGGGTGTCCCAGGTCGTGCTCTGTGACAGGACACAATTCCGGGGAACAGCTATTAGGTTCAAACCTCTGAGCAGCTGAGCACTAAACCATTGTGCCATCAGGCCCTGGGCGATGCAATGGGAAGCATTGCATCTTTCACCTGCCCATCTGTCCTGCAGTGAATCCGCCTAGGTCTATTTTATAGATGTGAAAGATCAAGGCCCAGAGCAGTGCAACAGTCGCTAGGGGGCGGTTGAATGAAGGCTCTGGAAAGGGATGGACAGACCCATTCATGTCCTTCCTTCCTCAGCTCCCTGGCCTGCAGAGTGGTGATGGTGGCGATACTGCCCCAAAGGGTCGCAAGGACAGTGTGTGGTGTTTATATTCCGTCCATGGTAGCCATGTCACTGGAGAAGGTGGTCTTCAGGTAAAGAAAGCACTTGGCTGTTGGCCAGAAGGTCAGCGGTCGGAGCCCACCAGCCTTTCTGTGGATAAAAGGATCCAGCAACTTGCCATCGTAAACGCTTCCCCATAGAAGAGCCTGCATGGGGCAGCTCCACGCTGTCCTATGGGCTCACTGTCCACAGTGGTCAACTTGGGGACACAACAACAACACAGAACCTTCAAGGGTTGCTGTCAGACAGGATTGACCCCAGCTCATGGGGACCTGGTGTATAACAGGTTGGAACACTGCCCAGTCTGTGCCACCTGGCTGGCATGTCTGGGTCCACTGTGGAGGGTAGGTGCTACTGTGTCCTTGGAAAGCCATAGAAATCCACTGAACCAGTCGGTGCATTGGGTTCATCCAGTGCAGTGGCCACCCTACCACGTCACACTCTCTGCCCATCTGAACCCATCCTCACTAACTAGGACACATGGCCTCACCAACATCGCAGGCACCTTCTACACATGCTGAACCTTTTGCTTTCCTTGCCAGCCAACAAACTCAGCTGAGACCCATTGGGGTTTGGTGCTAAGGAGATCCCGGCGGGAGGGGGGTGGTTGTTGGTGCCCAGAAGAGCTGGTTACACTGTAAGGATGGGGTTGCCTGTTTTGTTTTGTTAATGTGGATGCACACTCCTGTGGGATTCATAAAAGTCTCCCAAACTACCTGGAAACGCTGTTCCCAAGTAAGTAAAATTGATCTCCCCAGGACACATTGGGCTGCTAACTGCAAGGTCAGTTGTTCAAAACTCCCAGCCTTTCTGCAGGAGAAAGATGAGGCTTTCTACTCCCATCGAGTTAGACTCAGAGACCCACAGGGGCCGTTCTACCCGTCCGCTAGGGTCACTGTGGGTCGGAATTGACTCGATGGCGGTGAGTTTCCAGGTGGGCAAGCTGTGGCCACGAGGAGGGAAAAAGAGGAACCAGCCCAGATCAAAGTCATGCGGAAGATCAGGCATAGCCATGGAGGTGAGCCGGGCTGTGCCCCCACCCTCACCCCAAGTCTCGCTGGTGTCTTAGTCACCTAAGGCTGCCACGAGAGAAAGACCACACCAAGTGAGTGTCTTGAACAAACAGAACTTTACCCCTCACAGTTTAGGGGGCTCAAAGTCCAAGCCTGGGGGCTGGCTCTAGGAGAAGGCGCTCTCTGCCCACAGGGTGGATCCTTGGCCCAGCTTCCCTAGACATCTTCTCAGGTCACTCTTGGCGACCTCCACGTGGCCTCCCTCTTTCCCCTATTTGTACTACGGTGCTTTTGTGCTTCTGTGAAAATGTTGCTAATTTTTTTTTCAACCTCAAAAGTTGCTAGGTTGAAGACATACCCTACCCTGATTGGCCACATCAAGAAGACACTAATCCCAAATGGTATGACAAGACAAAAACAAGTTCCAGAAAGCCCGTTTGTTAGAGCACTGCTCCGCTGATGTTTCCAGGCTGCCATCTTTACAGAAGCAGGTCACCGGGCCTTTCTGCCGCAGCACAGTGGATTCAAACCACCCACCTTCAAGTTAGAAGTCAGTTACAAACTGCTTGTGCAGCCCAGGACCCCTCCAGTGGGCAAGAGGATAGGGCTCTCAGCACACATTCATGATTCAGTCCCTAACACTGGGCATGCCTTGCCTCCTCCAAGCCTGTGATGCTCAGGGAGAGGAGATTAGCCCTCATTCCTTCATCCTCAGCACTCAGCAAGGGGCAGGTCCAGAGTAGGGGATTGGCGATGGGTGAATAGATAATTCATTGGGGTACCCAATGAAGGCAGGCTGTAAGGTATAAAGAAAACAGATAAAGGCAAAGGAAACAAATGGAGAGGACAATAAAAACATATGTTTGTTAATATGTGCCTGCACATGAATATGCAATTGGAGGTTATTTAAGAAGTAGCCGCCCTGGTGGTATAGGGGTGATGTGTTTGGCTGCTAGCTGTAAGCTCAGAGGTTTGAAACCACCAGCTGCTCCTCGGGAGAAAGACCGGGCTTTCTACTCTCGTTAAGAGCTCCAGTCTTGGAAACTCACAGGGGCAATTCTCCACTGTCCTATTGGGTTACTGTGAGTTGGTATCCTGAGGAGAGTCTTGAGAGATGGGTGGATGGGAGACAGGAGTTAGAGGAAAACTTCTCACTATATACAGTTTATATGTCTTCATTTCCTGACGGTGGAATTTCTAAAAATCAAGATATGTAGGAAATGCTTGACACACCCCTGCCCCCCCAGGCAAGGCTGCAGAAGAGGAATTCCTTGCCTGAGAACCGTGGAAGAAAAGCAATTGAGGTAGCACCTCGTTACATCTCATCCGATCAAGGACCCGTTTGATTAAGGGCTTGCTGATTGCTGAGCTATTGA